CTGTATCAAGAGACCGCCGCACTAGTATACGGGAAACATGCCTTCGATTTTGGGCCTGACGCCGAGGCCGTTGCGCCTTTTCTGTCGGATCTCACGCCCGCGAGCCGGAACATGATCAAGCATGTTGAGCTGAGGAAAGCGCCTCACTATGACAACGAGACGGACAGATTTGAGTGGAAGGCAATGTGCATGTACCTTAGCGACCATACGCTCATCGAGACGTTGAGGCTTGTCGTACAGGCTGGAAGACCCTCGAGTGACTGGGATGGTCCCAGGGAAATCAGTTGCGAGGAGCTGGAATTATTGCTTGGACTTAAGTTTGATTGTCTGGATTGGATCACGCATGTTGCGACGCTTAAGGGAATCAGAGATATTGAGATTGTACCTGAAGTCTTCTACGCCGCGCCGCCGCAGAGTACGCATATGCTTGTCAACGCTGCGCTGGCGGGATCGATTGAGAAAGGGTTGACGACGCTGCTGAGACGGAAGTTGAGATTGCCCGATAAAGCCTAATCAGATCATTTGGTTAGGGTATGAGACTCACATCGATTTTGTCGGAGAGATGGAAGGCCCTGGATAATGTGACACTGTAGGTGTTTGGAGTGGGTTGTTAACGATGCGAAATATACCTACATATGTATATTAGGTATCCAATCATTGGATTCAAAGCCGGGTGCTGTAGTTAGGGCACATCACACGAGATAACCGTATCATTCTAATGCTATTCAGTGATAGATATCTTTTGACGTACCAGAACTGACCTATTTTACTTCACTCCGAAGCTGACCGAACATAGCAGCGGGCGTTGTGCGCCATCGCATACTCCTTCCTTCAAGAATGCTAGAGACGTCGTATTGTCACGAAATTTTACGCTAAAGAGCGTAAGGTAATCTTGCAGCTCCCCTGGCTTGCTTGGATGGAACCTCGGAGCAGACGCTGCATGGGCTACGAATCACGTAGGAACGTAATCAAAGAGCTGCAATACTGGGGTGTCACAAGAGAGGCGGAGTAGAATGGGGGATGTCGTTCGTGTTGAATGTCAATCGTTCAAGCCCTTATGTGGCCAGGGTACAGATATCAAGTATTATGCAGACTGCATACTGCGCGCAAGGGTATACACCCGGCCTACATGACTCCTGAGGGCGTCTGCGTATTGCTACACTATCTAGGTATCTACAGTCGGGATCATCGTTAACTGACTATAAGCCGCCACTCCAATGTATTCTCTCATTTCCAACTGTGCCAATTCCGGCTCACCCGAACGCCCGAGTCCCAGTGTGTCACTCTTGGATTCCTCCCTTATATACAGACACACGGGAGTAAGCGAGATCGTCAACTGCTGTCTGTATTGTTAGCGGCTGGAATGTCGACTCTCCCTAATGAGACCAGTTCAATGGTGTGGTCTATTGGAGACGTGAAGGAGGTTGGTAAGACTCAAGAAGATGATTTCCTTGTGAATCACAATGGCAATGAGAAACATCAGGTCTTCTTCTAGAGAGGCTGAGACTAGTTTGCGAAGGCGGCCTGTCTAGTGCACCTCGACACTCCTTATGTTGGTGGCTATAGTTCCTATACACGGCTATCACGGTGAGACAATCACATCTAGCGGTTCGCGGCATGCCGCCGTTGTATTTTCTTTGAATCGATGGGACCTCACAGAGAGGCCCAGCCCTCAACATGATCTCGTGTTGGCACCTGTGTAGGCCCCCAATATATAGCAACGCCACGCCACTTATCTAACGCCTTGTCTTGCGAGACTTGGCTGCGACACAGACAAGACGAGGTGCTATCATGCAGCTGAAGAGCCCTGAGGCGTCGGTCGTGAGCCACTCCGAAGCGAAACCGGGATGAACGGCGGACAAGCAGGCTGTAGGCGTAAGCGTTCAATGGCCACTGGGATCGCAATGTGACTCTGGCTTAGGTTGTAAGCTGATGCTGATCCCGGTTAGAACGACATAACGTAAGGCTCAGCAGCATTCCATGTGACAGAAAGCTGACCTGTAGCAGCGTTGTATCTAAGAGCGATGAAATATATAATCGCAGGCGTCGATGACTTAGATATCTGAACGAAAGACCTCAGTGTCACGATCGAAATGGGTTACGTACTCTCCACCCTTCGACGCCTGTATGACGGCGTCTTCACCAAAGTAAAACCAACATCATCACAAATGGTTACTATCGCAGGACTCAGTGGCGCACAATTCACGGTATGAAATAGCCCTCTCGGGTTGCTCATGGTAATGTATCGATACACAAGATGGAGTGCTGACACAAGAGCAGCCAGGGACTGAAGTCTACCAAGATGCCAAATATCAATATGCAACTTCCACCTACGGCGTGGAGAGAGACCTAAACCCCGCACTCATTGTGCAGCCGCTCAACATAGACGATATTATAAAGACTCTGAAATATGCTAAGGAGAAAAAAGTAGCTGTCGCTATCAAGACCGGTGGTCACCAGTTGGTTTTCTGCGAAACCTATAGTAGTACCTGGGCAATCAAAGTAACATCGTCGCAGGTATTCCGGTGCGAGCTCGACATCGGCGCCCAACATCCAGCTGGATTTGGAGAAGACATTCAGGGGACCCCTAGATCGAGCTATCTTTCGCAAAGACGGCAAAGCCTATGCTCGCACAAGCGTTAGCTGGAGTCTGGGGGAGTTCAACGCATGGCTCGCGGAAAACAAGGTCTTCGTGCCTCATGGGCAATGTACTGAAGTTCATCTTGGGGGTCATGTCCAATCAGGAGGTCGGTACCATCGGTTGCTTTCTACCAAGATATACTTCGCTCAGTGCTGAGTGAACCCTATCTGATATTTGTTCGTAGGTTACGGCCAACTTGCCCGTAGCTTTGGGCTCCTTGGGGATCAGGTCTTGTCTTTAGAGATCATCGACTCCGACGGCAATACCAAAGAGGTCACGAAGGCCAACAACCCAGACCTATTCTTCGCGTTCCTCGGTGGTAGTCCAGGAAACTTTGGCGTGTTGACTCATTTCACGATCCAAGCTCATCAAGATGAGGATTACAATGGATCTCGCGGGATGAAGGCCATGTACTTCTACGACACCAAGGTACTGAAGCGGTTGCTAGACATTCTAGTAGAAATGTCCGATGACGAGAATTTCCCGCGGAACTACGATTTGTGTATCAGCGTATTGAGCTCGGCATTCCCACTCCTTGATCTCTGCCCAGGTCTAGATGAACACATGGCCCGCGAACATCCAGAGGTAAGTAGCTTTTGAGCCCACCATGACAGTTGACGTTCACTGACTTTGCTATCTCGTAGTGAGTAGTGTGATGGACCATATATCAATTCGGATAATATGCTTTTGAGGCAATAAGCATGGTGATGTGCAAGACTGCCAGTACAACCTGGAACCGACTAATGGGTCTTATCGCAGGTTGTATGGCAAGAATGGGATCATTGCATGGCCAAGAGCCATCGCCGTCTATGCGCAATGGGTTCCATTCGAGAGTGGTGACGAGTGCGACCTATCATGGTTCGATCGTATCAAAGAGGGCTCGGAATGGATATTGGGCAACAACGACGTCAACGAGAAGCGGTATGTACCCAACCACTCCGTTCTTCCCTCCGCTGCTCCTGTTCCCTCCGCTGCTCCTGAAAGATTCATGCTAACGTATATCGTAGTAAGTACTAGTCGTTTCCATTCGGAAGGTTCTGGCAACGGCTAGGAAGTTCTACAGCACAACGATGCGACTCTGGGCCATGACGAATAAAGAAACGGACTGACATGTTTTTGTGATGCTAGCTATGTCAGAGCTCACTGGCGACTGGATCTTCCGGAACGTGCGTGAGTTCGAGAAGCCATACGTCAAAAGGACGTACACAACCAACTCCCGAACGCTCGGTCAAGACGGCTGGGCGCAATGGGCCGTCAACCGCATCGACGCAGTTGTGCGTCCTGATTTTAACCGCTGCTGGCTGTCAGCGCAATTGCAATGCTTCGGCGGTAAGAACTCCATGTTCACGCGCAATGCCGATAACGGCACATCGTACAGCTGGCGCGACACGTCAATCGGGTGCACAATGGATTGTTTCCATGATCCCGAAACCAAGGTCCGCGCAGAGGACTGGCAGAAGGTCAACGACGAAGAGGCGATCGGACCCAATGGGGTTTTCTCCAAGAAGGACCGTCGTGTGGTACGTAAAAAATAATCCCGCTCCGTACTTGGAACTGTCTAGATTTCTGGAAACCAACGAGTTCGAAAACAAACTGACAGCGCTTTGTCTGACGCAGCTCTGGGGTTCCTATGGTGATTGGAATCTCGACAAAGTCTGGGATTGCTACTATGACAATCGCGCTAAATATGAGCGACTACAGAACATTAGAAAAGCTGCCGATCCATATGGGACCTTCACGCCCAATCCCTTTTGCGTGAAGCGTGCGGCATAGTCTCTGGAAGCAGATATACTGCCTCACTCATCAGTTATAACCCGACAATCAGGTTTAAAGACGGTCAATTCGGTATCCATCAAGGCGAAAAAATGATATTCATATACTCGGGGGTTTTGGTTTGCCACCAAGTTTTGTGGTATAGTCGTTTCCTGGGGCCACCGCAGTGATGTCGGTGATGGGACAATCCGTATGATCGCCTAGCATACTTCGATGTCTACCGATGTAAGAGTATTTAGTATGCAGGAATAATGTTAAATAATGTTACTCGGAAAATAGAAAATTTGCCATGTCGGGCTGGAGATGCTTCATTAACCATCTGCGAGATGGAAATTGCAATACTGAAACCGCCCGTAAGTCCGTCCGTCCGCTACGGACATGATAGAGCGCACATCCACACTTCCCCCACTTCCACACACCACTAAACTTAGGTACCTTTAGGGCTGGTCTTTTGTAGGCCGATCGAGCCGGTGTGGAAAACATGCGAATTGGGTGTAACCTCGCTTCAGAAACCCCTCACCCAAGACCAAGAGATTGATATACACCAATAACAGCTCGTCGATCATCCAACAGGTCCCAGCCCAAGGGGCGTGTAGCTCAGGGGCAGAGCGTTCGCTTTGCAAGCTCACTAGCACAAATTGCGAAAGGTCTAGGGTTCAAATCCCTACTCGTCCACATTCCTTTTGATATTTTTCCCCTATGGACATGTCTTCTCAATCTTTAATTCATCGGTGAGTTCCTCTTCGGTCAGCCAATCCATACTGCATCACAACGTCAATTGCCGCCGATGTGGATATTTCCTTCCCGCTTATTGTCATATTGTGGTTGCTCTACCAGGCACTTCGGCTACCAGCAGCTGAACTACGGAACGCTGAAGATGAAACTTTTTGTACGGGTACTAAAATCCTACAACCATAACATGGTGGCCGGCGTTCAGGTTACGATGCAACATATATAAGGCAGACTTATCAAAACACCGGGACAACAGTGTTGACAGGGAATATTCCATCCTCCTTGCCTCGTTTTACTTTTTGACAAAAGGACCAATGAGTCGACTGGTATTGGTCAGTCGTGCCTCTGTTGGTCGCAGGTAGTATCACGAGTTGGCCACTCCAAACAAACATGCACTTTTGATAGCCATGGAATGCGCAAGCGAGATAACGAGTGTGACAGCCCGTAGCTAGATTGCTAATGTAGTAGCATCGGATAGTCGCAGTGCATTGTCGTTGCTTGCAGCTCAGGCCCCGCGCCAAGCTACCTGTCTTCCTCATGTTGACCATCGGCTCAGAGAAGCGGTCGTTGGTGGGTGAATAAAAAGACATTCTTGGCCGTTTAAGAAGCCAGAGCATTTCTGGCAAATTCAATCGCATCGCATGCTCTGACTTTACACGGAAGATGGGCCTTAATTAGTTCAGGTCTCGACAGGTATCGCCAGTTGTATTTCGATAACACACGCTGTCATACACCACAGTGAAAAGCGCACATAGTACAATTCACCCAGCGTCTTCCACCATCTCTCCCTCAGATTTGCCTCACGCTCCAGTCCAGATGGGAGCCCCTGCACAGCAACAGAATGACGCTGAGCATGAGGGCCCGGTCGACTTGGAGCAGGACCTGACGGGCGTTGAGGTCCGGTTGCCGACCCCACCGCCCATGTCCGAATCACCGCCACGTCTGCTCATCATTGGTGCCGGATCGCGAGGCAGAGTGTACGCTAGATGTTCTCTGTCGTCGAGCAACGGTGTCGTAGCCGCCGTCGCCGAGCCCGACGCGTACAAGCGTCAAGACTTCGTCAAGCATTTCATCTGGGATGATAAGACTTCTTCTTCCCCTCCCGAAGGATCCAGTTTCTCGCATTGGAAGGAGTTCGTCGCATGGGAACTTGATCGCCGCGAGCGAGAGAAGGCTGGCCAGTCGGTTCCAGAGGGCGTCGATGCTGTGTTCATCTGCGTACGTGATGAATTGCATCGTGATGTTATCATGGACCTTGCTCCCTTGGATCTCCATATACTTTGCGAAAAGCCGCTAGCGACAACCCTCGAAGACTGCACCGGCATATATCATGCATTAGGCAAGCTTCAAACATCCAAGGTCTTTTCGATCGGGCATGGTGAGCAGTCACAATTTCTCTCTCTTCCAATTCTCGGGGGCCAGGAGTTTGGTCTCTCTGTGCGTCTCATAAGACAATCAATCATTGCAAAGCGATGCCATGAGTATGCTAAAAAGAAAGAGTAATGACTGACTCCAATTGTACAATAGTCATGAGATACTCGCCACATAACATAATGCTACGTAAGTTAATACTGGAAGATAATGCGATTGGTAGCATTATCAGCGTGAACCACACCGAACCGGTCGGCTTTTGGCATTTCTCGCATAGTTACGTCCGTGGGAATTGGCGGAAAGAGTCGACAACTGCCCCGTCCCTACTGACCAAAAGTTGCCATGATATTGACATCATCCTTTGGCTAATGTGCTCGCCCCCGCCTGCCTCAGAAGAACCTGCACATTTACCGAGCTCTGTCTCATCAGCAGGGTCTCTACAATTCTTCAGGAAGAGCAGAAAGCCAAAAACCGCCGGTACCGCTACTAACTGCTTATCTTGCCCAGCTGAGCCAGACTGCATCTACTCGAGCAAGAGAATCTACCATGGTTCGAGACATCTGGGAGTCGCCACTGGCAATACCCGGTGGCCGATCAGTGTAGTGCTTCCTGATATAGAGAGTTTTGGAGGCGACATCGATCAGGCCCAGGCCAAGCTGCTGTCAGTACTAGCCGAGGATTATGATGACTCGACGCCACAAGAAGAGATCGATAGTAAGAACTGGTGGGGACGTTGCGTCTTTGAGTCTGACAATGATGTGTGCGACGAACAGGTGGTTACGATCACGTGGGAAGACGAGCCTCTTCCATCCTCAAGCGCCGCGGCACAGGATTCCTTGGGAACAAGAGGTGCCAAGCAGGCCACTTTTCACATGATTGCACAGACCAAGAAACAGTGTCAGCGATATACGTACTTATACGGTACTGAAGGAGAAATATACGCAGATTCGAGCACGATTACGGTCGAGGACTTCAAGACTGGTACGACCAAGACGTACAAACCGAAGCTAGAGAGCCTAGGTCATGGTGGTGGTGACCACGGCCTCACGAGACAGTTTGTACTCGCTGTCGACAAGGTAAAGAACCATGGCTGGAGTGCTAAGGACGCCCAGCGCGAGTTCATCGGGTGCGATCTTGAGGAAATCATCAGGAGTCATGCACTAGTATTTGCGGCGGAGGAGGCGAGGCGGGACAAGCAAACGATCGATTGGAAGGCGTGGTGGAACAGGAATGTCACTTAGTGTACACATAAGGTACGGATTGGGTAGCTTGGGTGCTTTTGTGAGGACCCAGCAATTTTCGTAGATACTTGCAGCCTGCAGGCACTTTTTTTCAGGTACCGGTATTTACTACATTACATCTTCTTGGCTGTACTGAGTATGCGCATAAACTTCAGTACAGATTCTGCGACGCGAGGTCGAGCCGCGATTCTACAATTGTGTTAATTTGCCATCGTGTATTCTCTTCGCAAACATTTACATCGTAGATGTATCGCAATGACACCGATACAAGAACGAAGCGCGTCGGCTATTGGTTCAACTCAGAGTGGGTGGCTGTTCTTGTCCGGAATAAATGAAATCTTTTGCTGCATCTCTGCCCATGTATCTGATCCGAATTAGCATCGAAAAGCACCATCCTGTCTAAGAAAGATGCTTACACGCTCAACATGATCTCTGCAAATTCATCCACGTCAGTTCCTCTTCCATTCTCGAGGAACCTTTCGAAAGAAAAGTTTGCAATGATGAACTGCGGCGTCTGCTTCCAAAGGCGCTGGAATTCGATCGAAGAACTTGCTTCCCATAGAGGACGACAAAGCGTAAAGCGATGTACGAATGCCCATGGACCCGGGTCTTCATTTGTTTTATCAGGATAGGATCTGCGGAGGTTCATCAATTCGAGCAGCGTACCTTCGTCTTCTGAATCCTGTAGCAGCTTATATATCCATATTACTGCATATGCCATCACAATGGTCCGACGCAGAGATTCGGCGAATATCCATCTCTGATTGTAAGTCAGTCAGTAGGCGAGCTATCACGAGAAGGGACAGAGTGACCACAACCTCCCAATCTTTTGGCGGTTGTTGCGTCCGTAACACATTTTGCTCTAGATGAGCAAAGTCCCCCATATTTTCGCGTATCTTACATAGCTCACCGAGCCATGTCAAAAATCTAGGGTATAAGATTATGTCAGTCTGTGTTCTATTCGCCATAGTCTGGAATCGATTCATCATGCGACCGAGATAGAATGTAGCTACTATGATATGTATTAGCACAGGTCATTCCAAGGGAGGACAGAGAAAAAGGACGGAAAGGGATGAAATTATACGTGCCATTTGTGTGTCCTTCTCGCCTTGCGTGCGAAGGGCAATATCTCCCTGTAAACCGTTAGCCCCCAACATAATAACGTATCCGAGATGTGGAGGTCCTCAAAGTGCATCATCATCTCCCGTTTCCATGCCGATTCCATTCGTGGAAATAGTGCCAAAGTCGCTTTTTAGAGGGGAGGCAGTATCTCATCACACTCACTACCAACACACCTTAGCATAGAACAATGCGGTTTGCGGAGCCACGTAACCACGTCCAAGATCCGGTAAGGCACGGGGCAACACGTACCATCAAAGAGGCAAATCACTTGATACAAAAATAATGCTTGAGCACGGGCAAGTTTCTCGGTAGGTGTGGCGATGGTACGCCCAGCCTCGGTCGCAATAAGTTCGCGTCGACTGTGATGAAGAGCTCGCATCATCATTGGCATTGTGGCGGGCGTAGCATTGGTATAGAGGACGCAGATAGAGAAGCAAGACATAATGCATGCCGGCGCGTAACTTCGGTAGAGATGTCTATGTAAGAAAGGTGTTGCATTCCGCGTTGCCATATCGTTTGTGAAGTTCTTGACTCGGTTCACGACATAGTGCACTGGCAGGATTATTGTGTCCTGTCAGCCTCTGAAAGATTTTGTAGTATGGAACAGACCAGACCGTGTCACCTTGGTTGAAGATGGGATGCAATAGTTCATACTGTGTCCGAAATTAGTCCTCGCTGCAAGCTGGACACGAAGGCCAAGAGAGCCGCAACTGAGGAAAGACACTTGCCATGGAGAAGTAGGGTCGTAGAGATCCCATGGTGTGGCGTTGTCCTGGGACGTATCAGCATAAGATGCAGCGCCGATCGTGGAACGTGTATTGGTAGATCATATTGAGCTTACACAGAACGGCGCCATCTTAGCATATGCCTGAGTGATTTCCTCATCCGCTGGAGTTCCCGGACGATCAGTAGAGTCGCGTTGGATCAGCCATTGATCAGGCGCCGCCGGTAAGCTACCATTTATCAAGTCCATAAAACTATCCATAGAATAGTCAAAGGCAGATTCTATTTGCAGCTGATCTATGTCATGAAAGGTAGTAGGTTGAGACTGCTGAGATGATGAGCCTTCAACCTGACTATCGAGTAACATGCTGGGGTCGAGAAGAGAAGAGTCAGTGTCCCTAAAAAAGGGAGACTCCGGAGGGAGATCCGGTCCGTCACGGGCACTGGCTGGTTGAATGTCTGATCTCTTTCTGCTGTAAATACAGT